AAATAATAAAAATCCCTGGGCCCCGCCCCAGCGGGGCGCCTTCCCGGGAAGGGCCGGGCGAGGCCGCGGCCCTGGTGTCAGCAGTGGGTTGGTTTGGGCCCGTTTGGGCCTGTATTGCAGATGGTGCGCAAGTGGGGTGCGCGCCCCGCAGCTGCTCAGCTTCGCAGGCACCCAATTCCTCTCCACTTGTGGCTTCCCCAAGTTCCTGCCCCCCCCCGTATCCGACTGTTTCCAAGGGCGTCCCTCGGGGAAGGTCGAGGAGCCGAGCGTTCTGTGTGCCGAGAAGACACGCTCGTGCTGCCCAGCGCTCCCAAAGGAGTGCCGGGACATTAAAGGAGGGTGCCACCCCTTTGCGGGGGGGGCGGGGGAGTGAACACAGCATGCTGTGAAAGGAGGGGCAGGGGACACAGGCCGCCATCAGCTTGCTGGCCATTGTTTCAGGGAGGTGGGCCGAGACCAGGGTGAACCGCGTTTCCCTTGACTCCTGTGGAATCCGAAGCGCTGCCAGCCGGCACCACCTTGGGCCCAAGTTGCGCAGCCTGGTTGTTCTTGTGTTTCCGCATGTTTGTACTGACGGTGGGGACCGGTGATGTCAGTCAGGGCCATGGAGGTGTCGGCGAGCGTTAAATGAGTTCATGCACACCAGCTGCTTTGAACTGTTTCCGGCGTGTGGGAGTGTTGGGGTTGTTTTTTTGTAGGAGAACATTTATTGGGTAAATGACAGAGGTAGGAAAAGCAATTCCTAGAAGAAACGGGGTTAGGAAACAAGTTCTAAAGGAAGGGCCCTTAGAGCTTGGGAGTAAAGAAGGTAATGGCAACACATCTGGGGATAGGGAGGGAGAGCCTGGTGTTTGTTTGTTTACTATTCCATTATAAAGCAGCGCTGAACTCCTAAGGCATCCAGACATACAAAAAACTTTTTTAAATGAAAGTGACTTTCCCCTTAAAAATTGCAAAGGTAACAAATCTGACCTTATGACTTAACCTTTGTTCAGAATTCTGGTAGCTTATTGCCAGTGAACCCTTGCCGTTAATGTTGATCCGAGTATATAGTATAAATTACCGGTAACGAGAGGCTTTCTGCCAGGCGTTTATCTTATCATTAAATAAGGTCAGGAATTATCACTACTAGGTCTGCCTGTGATAACTGTGTTGGGTAAATGAAACCTGAGAAGTTATTGGGCTGTTTAGTTTTTCGTTGGATGGCATTGCATTTACAGCCTTGGGGCTCAGGCACAGTTTATTTTGGATCCAGCACCAAACAGGCCAGGATGGCAGCATACTTGATTCCTCCTGTTCCTGGTGTGGCCAAGTGGGACTGGGCAGGGGAATTTCTGGGCAGCCTGGCAGCACTTCTTGTTAATGAGTAGGGAAGTTTGGTATGAATCTAATGTTATTCTGCTGTTAGGAAATCAGCAGTGCTCCTTGGGTTATTCTGTAGAGCTACTAAGCAGCTTTGGTTCAGTTTCAACCCAGTGAAGTGAAAGTGAGGTGAGAGAATAGTGTCCACAAAGCAATAGGTTTTCTGTTTGACTCTTGGTGCTAAGAGTTTGTGTGGGTGCTGTGGAGTCAAAGACATCTTTATTCCCCGTCTCCTCACCACGTTCCTAAATACCAACGTGAGGTGACAGAGTTCCGCCTTTTCTGTGAGCTTCGAAGCCCCTCTCACATTCTCTCTGGAAGGCTCTAATGGAAGAGTGTCCTGTCTTCCAGTTCTCCTCTTCCAGGAAGCTGCTGTTTATGCATGTAGCCTTCCTGGAAAATAATCCAAAATGAGAAACTTTGAATTTACAAAAAAGAACATCACTTACTCCAGCAGTATGCTGGCTTGATTTGGCTAAAATGCAGGTGTTATATAAGTTTAGTTATTGAGCTTTGCAATAAGACAGTTTAGTATTCCTGTAGGGTTGAATGTTGGATGTTGGAGGGGTGAGAGTGGAGGACCGTGTCTTGGTAAAACCCCTTTCTTTGTACTTGAATAAGGAGGAAAAGAGTAACATCTTTAAAGAGTTGAGTGTTTGAGGTAGAAAGGGGAGCCTTTTGTCCCACTATTGTCATCTTTATTATCTGAGTCTCTGTGGTTTGAATAAAATATTTTGGAAAAGAAGGCTGGTAGCATTTGAATGTGTAGAATATAAGGAGTTAGACGACCTAGACCCTTGTCTCACTCATTGTATGCCGTTTATTCTTTTAATAACTTAACACATATATTTAGAACAATGAACAGTTATTGACCCCTGGAGACACAAAAAAGAGCCCTTTCAGGTACCATCAGGAATATCATTGATAAAATAAAACAACATATGTGTATTATAGGCTATATCTTATTTATTAAAAAGATTTTTAAATGGATTTTTAGAGAGAGAGGAAGGGAGATGGAGAGAGATATATAACAGGTTGCCTCCTGCATGTCCCCTTGCAGTGATGAGCCTGAAACTGCATGTGGCTAACCGGAAATCAAACCAACAACCTTTGGGTGCACAGGCCGATGCCCAACGACAGCCACACCGGCCAGGGCATATAAGCTGTATTTTAATAAAATTAGAATCCTATATAATAAAAGGCCAATATGCAAATCGACCAAAGGGTGGAACGACCGGTCGCTATGATGCGCACTGACCACCAGGGGCAGACGCTCAATGCAGGAGCTGCCCCCAGATTGTCAGTGCGCTCCCACAGGGGGAGTACCGCTCAGCCAGAAGCTGGGCTCATGGCTGGCGAGCCCAGTGGTGTGGGC